TCTCTAAAGTTGAAGTAATTTTGCCAAGCGATCCAGATAATTTATTTCGCCGTCTAATTAGTGAGAAATGTGTAATCTTCGCGTAAGTTCTGATTCTGATCAGTTTCCTGTACTTTCCAGGTCTTCATATTTCCCTTACTCTTCTCTGGTTCAGGGTGGGTGTGAATGTTCCTACCAAAAAATGTATCCATAGTTTTTGTTGTCTTTCACAATGTTGCTGTCTTTCAGCATCTGATTTGGGTTCAGCCGGTGGAAGTGTGCATACATCTCCAATGGCGAGTCGTAACGCGTCGATTGAATTTTCGCCGGCTTCCCAGTCTAGCATGTCTCCATTATACCATCAGCAACAGCAGGCACATATAGAAATGATCTTTAGATTAAATATTTTGGTTGTTGAATTACGGTAGAATTTCTATAGTTTAAATAATTTTTAGCCCCCGCACATGCTCTACCAACAACAGTCTGCGCAAACGTCTCCCTCAGCAGTTACCTATCAGCAGCAGGCGTCTCAGACATTGCAACCGAATAACCAGCAACGAAGTGAACAGCAGATGCAGCAAGGGTCATCTCTCACATTGCAGCAACATGCGTACATGCAAGATGAATCGCCCCATCTACAAAGTCAGCACAAAAACCCTCTTTCCGATGGAAGCAATGATTTTGCTATGCAAGACCTTGGCGCCAATATTGCTGATTGTGGTAAAAAAACATTAAATCGATAATCTTCCTGCTCATTTCTTTTTGTGAAGTTAATAAGTTGTCGTTTCAGGTGGGGATTTTAATGACTTAGATTCTATTGAGCCTATGCCAGATGTTAGTTCAAGTTACCAGAATACTACTCATCCTGCATGTCATGCACAACCACCGCAGGGGCAGTTAAGCCGCCATCCTCAGCAAGGGGGGTATGGAACAGACACACAGCAGCATTGTGCTGCGCCTGATTATGACTCGATGGCGATGCCTTCGACTTCGCAAGCCGATTGCTATTCTCGTCAGCATCACAGTGTGAATTCTTATGCTCCTCAACAGCCACCTGGTGGCATGCAGCAAATTAATTCATATCAAGTGCAACAGCGGCAGGTAAAAATACTGGTTTATCATTTTCATTTGAGAAGTTCGAATTTCTTTTGGGCAACTACCAACTTTGTGTAGGAAAGCGCTGTTAATGCTGGTTTTTAAGCAAGCACAATATCATCAACAACAGCGCCCACAGCATCAGCAGTATCCTCAATATCAGCAACAGGACCAGCAGGAGATGCAGCAGCATTTGCGTCAGAGACAAAGGGTTGGAAGTTACCCGGCACAGATGCCGTCTACATCACAAACTGGTTTTATCCAGCAGAAACCCCAACCTGTAGCTGCAAATTCTCAGAACTCTTTAGTACAACAGCAGCGTGGTCAGCAAGGGCAATTGCCACAAACGCCAACTGGTAGCTACGCGCATCCGGCATCTGTAGCGCAAAGTGGACATCGGGCATCAGTCGATTCTTCCCCGTTACATCAGTCGAGTCGTTGCGAAGATGTTATGTCGGGGAATCTAGGTTAAATTTCTAACTCTTTTACATATATTCTGCAAACGGGCTTTGGGTTTTTTTGCTGGGACTTGGAGTCTGGGCGGTTTTGGCTTGAATCTATAGTTTTAAAAAGATTAAGTTTCAGAAGAGGAAGGTAATATGGATCCTGCTAAAACGGAAATGTCTTTAAAGGAAGGCGATAAAGATCCAATCAATTCAACTATAGGTCTTCATTTAATCATGCCTTGTGAAATACCTCAGTATTATTCAGCTTAGTAATACATATGATTTCAGTACTATTAACATTACTGTTGGTGACAGTTTCAGAGTCAGTGCTTATGAGGACGAGGAGCGACCAGGATAACATGCCGCAGCCTAGCATCTCCCAGGGTCGTGTAAACACGGTGCGTTCACGTCCTGGTCACAATATACACCCGTCGTCTTCGAGTGATACTTTTTCTGGAGGTTAGTGATTAGTGATGTAGAATGATATGATATAATGTGTTGTATGTGATTCCTTTCTTTTCGAACTAATTTGTTATGTTGCCTCTATAAGTATTCAAAAAACGCATCTTAGGTCGGCCACTGCCACCATCCCATTATGGGACAGTCGGAGAGATCACTCAAAGAACAGTAAATGGGCAACCTGCTACAACTGCTAGACCAAGTAACGTAATGCAGTCAATATCGTCTGGCGGAGTTCCTGTCGGTCGACATCCATCTACCGGTAATTCTCCCCTTGCTTTATTGGAGCGCTTTTCAAATAACTTTTTAAATTACCGGCGCTTGTAAATTTTCTTTGCGTTTGACGGTTTGATTTCTGCAGTCATTTTGTTTGTTGGTAGAGGATTTGATAAAGCTCCTTTAATCGAGTAATTTTTCGTTTTGACATACACTTCCTGTTTGATAGTTCTGTTGGGTGTTGAGTTTAAGCCGCCGCGATTATTCTTTACAGCTGCTAATAGAAGATATCTAGTTACAGAATTGGTTTTGAAACTTAGGTTTTTTCATTTTAAATGAAAGGGTGAAAAGTTAAATTTGAAAAGGCTTTTTTCCTGCAGGTTTTTTCCTAGTGATTTCTTATCGATGCGTATTTTCCTACTAATTACAGGTGGGAACGAAGCTGTAGAGGTAATTGACAAAGGAATCTTGTACGGTGATGAGAAGGTAGGTAGGGGTGATGATTCGGTGAGACCCAATTCGGAACAGATAATGAATAATACTAGCTACACATGTCAGAGACACCTTACGAACGGGCATGATTTACAGCACTTAAAAGTAAGTTGTGTGTTCGTGTTGAGTCGATGGCTTTTTGGAATATACTGCTGCTTTTTCACCAGAACTTGTATTCATTATTATGTATGACTAATTTAAAAATTTTTCTTGATCACTATTGTCTTCATTTTCAGGACTACAGATTCGTTCAGCCTCCGAATGGTATATCTACTACGATGTTGGCTTCCGATGAAAGAAAGCCCTTAACTTCTGGGCAGCACGGGCCTGTGGCTCAACGTGTTTCAAATAAAAGTGGAGGGGCTAGGCGGAACCGTAGGAAAGCCGATTTGGCACAGGAAGCTTCTCCTCAAAGGGACGATGAAGATGAATGTTATTTATCAACGTCTACTGGTCAACAAGGTTTGTATTTCTCCAGCTTTTTGTCGTGTTTTTCTTATGTTGAAACTGCATTGTGTGTTGCCTTCTTCCTCATTGTGCCACAAGTTACTCTTTTTGGCGTTCTGGAAGCTGAGGAAGAAAGGTGCAGATGAGCGACGCCATCGACTCGTTTTTGCAGCTTTTATTTAGCTGAGAAAAGTAGAGCTACAGGGGATAGCCAGGAAAGTATTTAGCTTTTTTAGTGTTTATGCAACGGCGTTCGTTGAAAGAATTGGAATTTCAGGAAAACAATTTAATTTAAACCTTGAAAAATTGGCTTTCAATTACATTTGCGAAGTTTCATCGTGCTGCTTCAAATTAACGTCGTTTTTTGTGGAATTTTTTTTAGCAGCCTCATTTGAATACGATAAATAGAAAGTGGTGACCCGGAGGTTATTTGGAAAATTATAGGCTGTCAGACAGCAGTCATTTAGAAATTGGTGCTTTGTTTGTGTAAAGGTTTATAAATTTTAGTTTGTAAACCTAGCTCACTAACCATTCACACTCTGCTGTGTAAGTTTTCACATAGCTTGTTTTGAAAAAGGTGGATTGTTTTTTTTACATCCAGATTTCTGTGATGGTTATGTAATTTACTCGGCAAACGCGGCAATTATACTACTCGAGATGTTGTGAATTATGTGTATCGCGTAATAGTGATACAGAATTATTTGTAGGCTTTTTAGAATAGGGAGGGTCTATATTGAGTGATCAGGATTTAGTAAACATTTAGTAAACATGTTTAGTTGCATTTGGAGGTGATATATTAGCATTAAAGTAGTTTTGTGGTTCACACTAGGTCTTTTTTGCGCTCGAAGTTTTGATGAACTCAAAATTTAATCTACAGTGGTCTTGCAAACTCTTGTAAAGCTTTAATTGGTAAAGAGGAGGTTAGTTAAGGTGCAGATATTCTACTTCTACAAGAGTTAGTGAGTGATTGAGTTTTATTTTGCTTTTTTGTCAGTTTGATCATTAGTCTGCTGGCCAGAATTCCATCTGTTGTGCCTCAAAGTTGTGCTAAGCTAGATCCTTACCTGTTGATGCTTCCTTATTTAAGCGACTCAGGGGCTATGGATGATTCAGTAAATAGGGTCAACTGTCCTTTTTTTATTTACGCTTCTTATTATGCTTTTTTTTATAACTCTACTTCCCACGTCCTTCTCAAGGAGGGCATTTTTTAATTATATTTATATCTGTTGTTATGAGGAGGAAGTAACCTCATGCTCCTGAGATCTAGTAAATTCCTAGTACTGTTATCATTTTCAGCTCCGCCCACTCAGTACACAAGACTCAGCATCACCGATGGTAAGGTAGTTGGGTCTTCAAATATTTCATCTTCTCAGCAGGTGTACGGGAGCATTCAAAATTCCCAAAATAATTTTAATGCTACAATGACTCGCCAACAGCAGAAAACTATGAAATCACAGGTATTTTATTGTGTATTATTTTTGCATTTATAAATAATTTGATTCACCAAAGAGCTGCGATAGATATAGTAGTTTTAGTCTTTCCTTGATAAGGGGTTCTTGGCTATCATTTATTTTCTTTCAAATCGTAGTTTGTAATAATTTTCGGTGTTAATTTTTACGGGGATTTAGCCGAAGCCGTCGTAATGGGATGTGGAAACAAGCTTTTGTACATACATAGATCAACGTAGCGTAAATGCCTCTGTGTTTTGGATATTGGAATGTTCTACGAGTTTTTGGAAATTAAAGACCGTCCTGTTGTATTAACGAGAATTTGCAGTTACAGTTATTTGCCGGTGTTCTTCAGTAACTTAATACTCAATTAGCATTTCGCTTCAACCTTGCATTAGTGCCATTTATTTTAATTTGCAAGGTGCCTTAAAGGACTTTCTCCCTTTCTTCCGAAATGGATTTTTTTTTTTGTCTCGTTCAGTTTTTCAGTAAGTTCATAATCAGATGTAATGTGGGGAAAGCTAATTTTAAAAAAACAATTTTTTACTAAAATTTTCGATGATTATGAAGTGTCGCGTTCATCCGGGGAGTTAATTAAATTAGCAAATGCAGCTGTTTTATCCTCTTTGTCTCTCTGGGTGTTTCGACCTATTCTCGATCTCGTAGTGTCGTCTCAGAATTAGTTTTTAGTATTGGTGTGATGTCCAGCGCATCGCTTAAGGCGCTGTACTGGCAGAAAGTATATATTTTGTTTTATGTTCGTAGCTTGTGTCGTGGTCTTTGTTAGTACCATTTTGGGAATTCGCAGTTTTCTCAGGGTCTTATCAAGAGTGGCTTCACTAGGCGCAAAATTTATTTTAGGACATTCATACTGTAATAATCAGTGAGAGGCAATGAGCTTACGGCAGAAAATGTGCATGGCTTTCTGTTGTGCATTTGGTAAAGAATAAGCTTGGTGTCGGGTTGTTTTTCAAGTTTTTGAGGTGGTGCAACGAACGCATTGTTATACAATTTTTTCGGTGACCAATTGCCCAAACGTTGTCTTTGAGTGATTATAAGTCATGGTGCATCAGAATTAATCAGTGATTAATTTAGGACTTTAAATGTTAATATTGGTCTATTTGTTTTTAAATGGGCTACGTGTATTGAACACTTTTGGTATTAATTGGTTCATATTTCTATTTATTTTACCAGTCATTCCACCAAAGTTCGGATGCAGCAGCACCAGTACATTCGCTCATTTAACTGTAGTTTTCTCACCCTAGCTCATTGCTGTTGTCGTCTCAAATTCATGTTTTGTATTTGTTAAACTTGGTTATACTGTATTGTAGTCTGGTGAAATTGTCGCTTTGGGGCCTTGCCATCCAGGGCTATTGCAGCATTGCCGCTCCGGTTTGATGAGATACACTATTTTTTGTCATTGTCAAATTTATATATCTATTGTGTTTTGTTATTGATTTTCTGCATCTCGTTCCAACATCTTCTCATCCGTGTTTGCTGTGAATAAGATTTTATGTCATTTCGTCGTAATTGCATAAATTATTTCTTCGTTGTAAACAGTAGCTTGATGAGAAAGGGCTTACAGGCTTTTTTAAAGGACTTTGTACGGAAAGGGGCCACTTTGTTTAATGTTCTTGGCAACCAAAGTCGAACCGAGGACAGTACGCTGGTTACAGTTTCACTACGGTGCCAACGCATTCCCCCAAAAGTCCAGACTCACTTGGGCGCTAAATTTAACAAGGTCGTGATGAGATTAGCGCAACCTAACTAGAGCCGGGTGTCAGCAACTGGTAACATTACAGAAGGTAACGACTGGCTGAAGAAGCTGAACAGTGTCGCTTCAAGAATATGCTTTTAGTAGCTGGGATTGTACATTCTTTCCACGGTATGTTACAGCAGGAGCACGAATATGCTCGACTAATCTAATTGGTTAACAGTAACTTGAGACAACATCTAACAAAACGGTAAGAGCAATACGTGATCATACAGTTAAAACACAATTAACAAAACCCGTTAACACCAAAACAAAATAAACACAGGGAGTTAAGAGCCCGTTAAAGTTTTGGACCAAATATTATAAGCAGATTCGTATTTACAACCAATTCATGTTCAAATTTACAAAACTCACTAGTTCCCACAACAAAGTTAGTGGTAAACAAATTCTAAAGGTCTTCCAGCACCCCCTAAAACTCATTACCGGGAACTTTTTTGACAGGGACGTTTAGAAAAATCTGAAATGAATTTTGATCTATTAACCACTTACAATGTTACTGCAGGCAACCAGTGTGAACTGACTGTTCAAGTGGACTAGAAATAGGTAGAGACTACCGCAATTAGGAAACGCAGCAAAAAAGCCTGTGTGAAGCAGCTTATGTTACACACTGCTACCTTAAAGAACGCACAGCGGACCACATAAAATCCGAACGGTTGTAACCTGCTAGTTCTCTTCTTGTTGACCACATTCAACACTAAGATCTCAGGATGCACTATGAAGTGCAGTTACCAGATGGGACACAACAGACCTGCTGAATAGTTGAGATTGTGGCTTGCTCGTGGTGATTAAGGAACTCAATGGTAGCTGATATATCAAATTGCATATAGACATATAGAGGCGTTAGTGTAGATATTCGCGCTTGACAGTAGTCCCTAAAAGATGTTATTTTTTTAAAACACTAGCTAAAAGATATTGTAGATTGCGCCTCAGAAAAATTTCTAATTCCCTGCATTAAATAAACACTTACGCAGCATAACCTCCCAATGAAACTGTGTTATTGAAGGAGAGCAAATGTTTGTTTTTCGAGAGCGGGCTGACTGTTACCGACGTAAGGTTACTACCACTGCCAATAACATCAACTGACCACGGTTGAAATTTGCACAATATTGAAGCCGAACAATTGACTACTCGCACAGAATAGTAGTTAGCGTTCGACACGTTAACAGAATTCTGGAAATTTCAATAACCTTCAGTCTACGACAATACAGCATTTCTGGCTCACAGTAACTACCAATTCCTACGTACGCTTCTAAAATAAAAGCCAAGACAGGTGAGGAAATATTGAATAATAATAACCCTTATCTTCGTAGTGCAACATGGATACTGCTAAATTTTATCAAAAACCTGTAGCAGCTTAAGTACCAAAATCACAGCTTAAAGGCATGAATTAAAACTTTCTAGTGTCTCTAAAATATGTTGATACAACGCTTAAAGTTTAAATACAAAAAAGTCTAACCAAGAAGTGGAAACTAATTCTACCCTTCGAATGCTCGAAAACATTAATGATCTCAATGGGAGGTGAAGTGCTGCTTAAATCCACGGCTCGTGGGACGAGAATAAATATGGCAGTACTTGCCAATAAACCACAAATAAGAACCACACATAAAATGTATGCCCATCTGCAACACGAACCTATGCGAGAAACGTAAAGAATTTTATGAGACTGTTTGAAAAAAGCTTGTTCTTACGTTTTCTTCGGTTTCAGGCGATCGTCATTTACAGGTATTAATGCCACCAATGTTTCTTCCATTTCTAAAACGGAGATTACTTGCATGACTTTCAGGAACAACAAATGGGAAAATTTCCACAGCTAATCATTTTAAAAAGACACAACTATTAAGCTGAGGAGGTAAAAACCCACCGGTTTTTCCCTTTTAATTACAAAAAAGCTTTCGAATAATACAACACTTTGCTTCCTTCAAAATCCCACTACGAAAATAGAAGAAAAGGTTTTTACAAGGCCGCCTAATACAAACCACGCTTCTAGAAACTGATTTGCCATTATCAGTCAGAAAAATAAAGACGCTCTCTCCAGTAACATCATATTTTTAAATTCTCATCCAGACAAGCATTTAAAAGCCTTACAAAACCTTTTACGAAGAGAACAATAAATTCAACCTTCCACACAAAAAAATGACAACCCAATTGCCCAAGCAAAAATAAAAGTAATTATCCGCCAGAGAGAAATTGAAAAGAACGTTCAAGCAGATACAAGCCAGAGAATATTAAACTTAAACAAGCGAAAAACCAGAAAATACCACCTGACGCTCATTTTCATCGGCCCACGTTGTTATAAAAAAGGACGGAGGTCATGTAACTTGAAGAGTTTTTGGTCAAAAAGTGTTCATTTCCCTCAAAACCAATTCGAAATTGGAAACACTGGGTTGATTTAAAACATGTAAATAATATCAATATTCTACATTCTTTTCATTTGAAACAGCTGGACTTTGCAAAGTAAATATAGAAATAAACTAGCCTTTAGGGATCCTTCCTGTGCCCTTGCAACTTGGGCACTGTACTGAATCCTCTGGCAGCTCTTGCGCCTCCTTACTAGGCCTTGAAACTGAAGGTGTGTCCTGAACTAAATTCGTACTTGAATCATAGCTGTCATTTGCAGAAATATTCTGCGCTTGTGAATCCGATCCAAGCAGGCGCCGCATACTTATATAAAGTCCGTTACGGAATTCACTAAGTATTAGTCGCAGTGAACGCGTTTTTGCCATCTAACACTTCAGATTAAATCGAAGTATAGTGCGCACTGTTGTTACCGCGTTCAAATATCTGCAAAAAAAAAAAAAAAAAAAACGTAGCTTCTCGAAATCTTCTAAGCAACCCCTGATACAGCAAGAAAAGACGAATCAGTGTACTATCCGGCTGTCGGTATCAACATATCCGTTAGGCAACAGTATTCAATAACTATATGTCATTCTGCTGCAGAAAGTAAACAAATAAAACTCGACACCAATAACGCATCGTTCAAATATTACTTGACGATAGAAAACAAGGAAAATCAAGCAGTTGTCACAACCTCAGTTAAACTGATACTTTAACGAGGTCAAATACTATACCAACATCACTTTCAGTTAAAAAAAAAAACCATTTCTCATCAACAACATCAAAAATCACGTTCCTTAGCCCGGCTGAGAGCGAAAAAAATTTTTTAAAAAACACGCACAGAAATATATTGCTCAGTTCAGTGAATAACGCAACAAATTTTAACCAAAACAAACAGAATCCAAACTAACATATGTAAAGCCTTGGTTATTCACTGCTGCCGGTCTCTTCAAGATGTATTTGGTTTTCATGATTTATCTGGACTGGATAGCAGTGATCATGAGTTTCTTCTCACATCAATTGAACCACAGAGATTTCTTAAGATTTCCAACTGTTTATAGTGTTACACACATAGTACAGCAGGAAGGATGCTAAAGAAACAAACAAAATAAATAAAACCAAACATGGCTGCTGCAACAGTCCTCCAAGCAGCATTAGCAGTTCAGAAGTGCGTAGCAATATTACTACTTCTTTTTTCTTTTGTGACAACTTGTTTGCTTCTCGGCGAATAGACAGCCGAGACACAGCATCTTAATTTATGCTAACAAATCTAAAGAAGTATACGCATATTGATTTTTATTGGGCTTTCTCTTTGAGAATTCAATAAATTCTTTCCTTTTAACTGCACCTCTAAGGACACAACAAAATTCACGCACTAAAACCCCAAAATAACAAAAGAAAACAAAATGGCAGTTTGGAAAACCAAAACGCAAAAATATATCTAACGTATTATACAGCGCAATAAATTTTTCTTTTTACAAAACTTCAACCAGAACCTATGATTTGCAATAATAACAATAGTGATAATAGTACCAAAGAAAAAACTTTTTTTGCTAATTATTTACAGCGATAGGCAATGCAATACGACCAATGACTGAAATTTTTTTCGTTCCCTGCTGTTCTTTACCAATCCTAAGGAAAAGCAAATTCTCTAGTTTTTTTTAAGACATACGGTTAGAGAAATGACTACCCAGTTAACCAATCAAAAAACTCAACAAATATATGTTCCCTTCACATCAATTAATTGAATAATTCAGAGTAAACATAGAGTAAGCAAAGTTGAAGTAGTACAAATCTAGAAGGTTAAATGGTATTATAAATTTACACAGTAAGTCAAAAAAAACTGTAAAAAAAGGTCAACATAAAGTAAACATAACCTTCTAGCCTATCACATGCTATAACCTATCCTGCACCAGGTCCAGTAAACCAACTTTTCTCAGGTACTTTCACAAACTTCTCAGTACTGTCCGTTCCTTGTTTTCACGTATTCGTTGATGTTTTCCCATTAATGATTCTATGCGGTTTGGAGCAGGCTCTCAAAGAGCCATTCAAAAACCTTAATTTTATTTTTTCGCAACCATTATTCACCGGAACAAAATATATGTTTTATGTGGCTGTCTTCAGAAAAAACCCAACCCAGTGTAATCTTCTTTCCTTGCAAACGGGAAGGACTTCTTTAATTACTTCGACAAACAGCAGAAAGTCCAGGATAACCGCAACTTTAAAAATAGGACCTATATTTCTGCAACTCAAAAGCATTTGAAATCATCAATAAATCTTCACCATCTATAATGTGAACTATTTTGTTTTGAATCTTCAATATTCATAGCAGTCAGACACTGTCCGACCCTGAGCGTAGACCAATGTGAACTAATGACAGTCGTTTCCTCCTCCGTTTCTCCCAATCACTTGCGAATATCTACCAAACTCCAATAAGAAATGATTGAGCACACTGAAATAAATGTATCTAAAGCTTCCAAATCCTGAAAAAGCAGGACCAACTTTACTCAACCCGTTCGCCGTTGTTGTGCGAGAACACCTAAGCTTAGTGGAGTCACATTTTCAAACTTGTGAACATTACTTTAAGACTAGAAACCCATGTTTAATTTTAAAAAATGGTTCAAATAACCCAAACGAGCAAATTAAAATCAAGAAGCGAAATATGGTATGCGCTCGTTGATTTTTTTACATAATCATTTCCTGCTGCCAAAGGTCAAAAATTTTTTACAAAAGGGAATCACTCTGTGATAAGACTTTAAAAAGTCATCAATAATACTGTCATATTTGACCCTTTTTTTTCTATTTCCACTGTCATAAAAAATAAAATAACCACACACATTCAAAAATTATTAGTTAAGCAAATAAGCCATAGGAAGCATTATTTTGCCCGACATTGCATGTTATCAAACTATTATCAAACTATCTATAGTTCGGTAATCGAAAAGCAACCAAAAGGTAAGACAAAACTTTAGCATACAAGGAGACAACACCAAAAGTCTAGTTCCAAATGAAAAATAAAGAC